GAGATCTCATTTTTCCAAAAATGTGGACATTTATTGCTATATGTAGACATTTAAAAAGTCTAAAAGTGCATAAACCAGAAAAAATTTTTTAGTAATCTCTGTGAAGTAGTATCATAGGTAATCTTAATTTTCTTCTTCAAGTTTTCCATATTTTCCTGATTTGGGGTGATTAACATGAATTCTTGAGTTATCATTCTGAGTTAAAATAAGCTATTTCACAGAGTCTAATAATACATATCAGATAATCCAGTATTTCCCTGCCCTTAGTTTGGGAGCAGTGGATAGGAGGAGGAGAATCAGGGGAAGGAAATGCAGACTAAAATTCGGGGCTTCTACAGCAATGATCATGCTAACCCTAGGGTGAAATGTCCTAGAAAATCTGGCAGATGGAAGATTTTAGCCCAATCCCAAACTTCCACATGGATTTGTTTGTTTGTTTTTTCACTCTAGTTCCTACAATGAACTTATTTTCTCAAGATTTGCTAACCTCAGAAGAGAGAAAAAGAGAAAGATGTCCAGATAGCTCAGGCTCTAGGGTAGTTGGACCCCAATTAAAGTAACTTTAAAAAAAAAAGTCAAAGAAAGAAACCGTAGTTACCTTCTCAGGACAGCACTCAAAAATGACATGGTCATTCTAATTCTGAGAAATACCCAGAAAAAAGACTAGGGGCTTTTCGTTTTCCTGTAGAGTCACCCATAAAAGATGAGCATGCTACGACTTTCAGGAATTTCCCTAAAGACAACTGTGCCACCAAGTTCCCATAAAATCATCTCCTATCATCACTTTGCTGCCTCAGGTCAGCAGGAAAGCAAAACTAGGGCTTGGCATTTTCAAAGTGCTTGTTCTGAACATGTGTTCTGAAAACATAGCCTGAAGAATCAGCTCTCCATGTCAGAGAGAAAACCAAAGCAAAACTCCATTTCTAAGCAATACAGGATTCCAAATGCAGTAAAAGTTGGAAAAGATGAGTGCAATTACACTATTGCCTACATTTTGCTTTCTCTAACATTTTCAGTAAGTGCTTGATATAACAGGGTCATGCTGATGACACTCCCTAAGGAGAAGGAACATTAAAAGAAGTAATAAAGTTATAACTAAAGTTATAATTGGGCTTCCTTGGTGGCTCAGAAGTAAAGAATCTGCCTGCCAATGCGGGAGGCACGGGTTTGATCCCTGGACTGGAAAGATGCCCTGGAGAAGGAAATGGCCAGTCACTCTAGAATTCTTGCCTGGGAAATCCTGTGGACAGAGGAATCTGTTAGGCTACAGTCCATGGGGTCACAAAGAGTCGGACACAACGACTAAACAGCAACAACAACAAAGTTATAATTTATCATTTTTCCCCTAACAATGGGATGAGTTTACCTTATCTTTGGACAAGCCCACCTCAATGACAGTTGAGGAGACCCTAGATTCACGCTATCTCTAGCAATTCCCTCTAGTTGCTATAGGTGATAGGATTTTTTTTTTTTAAGCCCACCCTTTAAACTGTGGGTCTTCTGGAATTATACCAAGGACAATTTTCCAGAGTCTTTAGCCTCACTAGTCACCAACTCTTATCTGATAAATGTTCGAGGCTAAAATCACTAGATGTATTCAAAGGGAGATAACAAAACACAAGCTTCAAAGGAGAAAAAAGGAAGCAGTCTTCCCAGCTGAGGGGGAATAAATATCTATGGGCAACATATCTGCAAGGTTCTCCTCACACAGGGAAAAGGAGGTGGGGCCCAAGCTCAGAACAGAGTAAAAGCTCAGCTGGAGGCAGGCTGGGGAAAGTGGGAAGAAAAAAACCCTGGATGACTGCCAAAGCAAACAAATAGGTAAACAAACCAAAATATGGCTTTACACATTTGGTACTGAGAAGAATATTGCAGTGTGATAGAGAAAATGAAGTCTGGAAATAAAATTACTTTTCTCTATGAAGCTCAGAACACATGATGTGAGAACTCACTGAAGGGTGATCTCAGCCTATTTTTTTTTTTGAGCTCATTCTTAGGAACAGACACGTGGGGCTTGGACTCCAAGCCTCAGCTAAAGAGAACAGCCCAGTCTCAAAGAAGATTCCACTTTTAACTTTCAGAGCTGAAAGGGTTTTCTTTGGCCACTAGAAAAATTGTAGCCACAAGAACCGACCTGTTTTTCCACTGTTTGAAGAACTATCTTATTCTAGGTTTCACTTCACAGATAGAGACCTAGTCAAGGAGATTAGTTGACATATATGATCAGCCCTGACTTTCAGTTCTGTATTCTCTGCCACTTTGTACATTACTTGTCTCCCCATTCTTTCCACTTGCTTCATTAAGACATTTCACATGTATCATCTTACTGTTAAAAACACTTTTGATATGCCCCTCCTTGGGAGAAAAGGAGGAGCATGTGGCCTCCTGAAACTCTTCATTGGGATTTACCAGCTTTTATGTGCAGGAGAAATTTGCACTACTATGATGTCCTCTGCAAGAAAATGGTCAGGAGATGTGTGGGAAATGTGCCTATTTTTAAAGGGTCCAAACCACAGGGCCTGATTTATGGCAGGTTTACTAATGTAGGCTTCCCCAGTGGCTCAGCAGGTAAAGAATCCATATGCAATGCAGGAGATGCAAAAGACTTGGGTTCAATCCCTGGGGTGAGAAGATCCCCCCCTCCCGGGATAAAATGGCAACCCACTCCAGTATTCTTGCCTGAAAAATCCCATGGACAGAGGAGCCTGGCAGGTCACAGTCCAAAGGCTGACAAAGAATTGGACATGACTGGATGAATGAGCAACAATACTAAAGTAGAAACGAGAGTTCACAGTAATGGAGTTTAACTTCGCTTAAAGTATAAAGAGGAAGATGAGCTAAAACCTCGATCAGAAGGAGATACCAGGTTTCCCCAAACTTGTGCTGTGTGGTTAGTGCGTCATAGAGATGATGAGCATCTCTGTGGACACACACTTCTGACGAGTGAAGTTCATACCCCACCTCTGCAAGAACCATATAGTTAATCCCCTTAACATAACACATCAGAATTTGCATCCTAACATCCATAAGACAACCTTTCCTACCTCTTTCTTACTGACTGCACCCTCCATTCTGTTTGAGGTGAAACAAAATCCTCTGTGCCACTGGTACAGCACAACCAGATGTGTGTATATTTCAAATTAGAATCCCTTCAAAACCTATTTATGTGCGCACCCAGGTGCGTGTTCTCTAAGAATGGGAGTTTCTGAAGATTCTCACTGGACATGATAAAACCATTTAATTCCTGAAGGAAATATGCTAAAGAAAAAAAACTAAAGTGAACTTAAGAAATAAAGATTATACACAACATACCCATCATAAGCATAAGTCTGTTCATCAGCCCAAGCAAAAGATAGTAAATAAGCCCAGGATCAACTTGCTCCCTATGTTTACAACAGGGATTTTATGGCTATGGTAGATGGAAGCATTGTTTAATTCCTATCCATATGCTTTATTAAAAACAAACACTCAGCATTAAGAGAGATAGTTTATAAATTACATGTGTGCATACAAAGTTGCTTTAGCTGTTTCCAACCATTTATGAGCCTGTGGACTGTAGCCCACCAGACTCCTCTGTCCATGGGGATTCTTCTCAAGGATACTGGAGTGGGTTGCCATGCCCTCCTCCAGAGGATCCTCCCAACCCAGGGAACAAAACCTACCATTTTCTGCATTGGCAGGCCGGTTCTTAACCACTAGTACCACCTCAGAAGCTCAATTATTTCGGAAGCTCAAGCATACTCAATTATTTCGATATGACATTCACAGGTATCAAGTTTTCAAGAAAAGCTGCACCAAAATTTTGTCATCTACTTCAAAATTGGTCCGTAAAAGTCTAAAAAAATACATACCAGAGTTACTTGGAATTAGGTAAATACTTATCTGGGCAGCGACCAGAGATGAAGTAAATCCTCCCCACGATTTCTGCTTTCCTTGCTACCATTAAGTTCATTTGTAATAATATGGAGAGCGCCACGCAGGACAGTCAGGAATGTCTCCACACTATTTTAAGAAAATTTAAGGACCTACCACTGTATTTGTTTTGCGATCATTAAAAGGGGAGCGAAGGCCTGTTTGTCCGCGCCTCCCAGCTCAGCTGCACGGCTGGGTGACTGGAGCTCTGACCAAGAAGGTGAGGCCCCCTGGCAGAGCCCCGGGTCTGAACTGTACGCCTTTTCATACAGGCAGAGGAACTGGGGTTAACCACACTATAACCCTCCCACCTGAGGAAAAGGCCTGTTTGTTCCGGAAGGCAAAGCCCAGCCTGGTTTAACTAACTGCAAGCAGTTACTATAAGCAAGGCAGCAAGAAAGCTCTAGTCTAGAACAGGAAAGTCATCTACTTGATGAGGATTTCTTCAGAGTCCAATATCTAGAAAGACACAGATCAGGAGCCTTCTGACGGTTAACCTAAAAACACCTGATCTTTCCTCTGGCTTCCTGGCCTGGGGAAACGGATAGGGCTGCCCGCCCATGCCTGCGCCTTCAAAACTTGCCATTTCGGCGACCGCCTCCCCTGAAGTCATACCCCTCCTAGAGGGCCCCCTCTTCTTAGCTCCTCTCTCTCTCACTCTTCCACCAGCCGCCCGGTGCCCGCGGACCCGGGTCGGAGAGCAGGCACACCGAGTCGCGGGGTCGCTCCGGCGGCGCCGGCGGCTGGGTCACCAGGCTGGTGGGCGTACGCCTGGAGGAGAGGGGCGCGTGGCCAGGCGTCCGGCGCCGCCGCGACGCCCCACGTCCGCCTGGTCTCCAAGCTCCCGGCTGGAGCACGTCCGGAGAGCGTCTCAAGCTGGTGTCCTGGAGCACTTTCTCCGCTCTAGCCGGCCTCTCCGAGCCCCCGGCCGCGAGGCTCGGGAGGTGAGAGAGAAAGCAGAGATGCGCGCGCCAGGAGACCCAAGGAGGAGAGCAGCCCGGGGAGGGAGGGGGTGGCTGTGGACCCCCCAAAGAGCGACCGCAGGATGGAGGGGGGCGCCCAACGGCGAGCGCCCCTAGGGTACTGACCTGCACTGGGGCCCCTGGCACGGACCTGAGACCCTGCTCCACGCCGGCAGGTCCAGCGCCTCCACGTCGCGAGCCATGGTGCTGCCCAGAGCGGCGGGAGAAGGCGGCCTCCTGACTGGCTGCCGGGCGGTAGTGCGGAGAAGCACCTTCAAAGGCCGCGCGGGCGGTGAACGCTGGCGGACGCCGCGCCCTCCACACCGCCCCCGAGCGGCCGGGCTGTGCACTCCCTGCCCTCCGGGGCGCCTGACTCTATCCGTCCTTGATTTCTGCATTCTTTTGATTCTGACATCCGTCCTTTGACCATTTTAAAAGTCATTTGTATTTTGATGCGTTCAAGACACCGGGCACTTTCAATGAGTGCCAAGCCCAGGGCTCAGCACTGAGAACCCCCAGATAAGACCACATGCTGGTCTGCAGCCACTGATGCTCTACCCTCCCAGAGCTTCTGAGGACGCCTGTTGGAAACGGGACATGGATCTTGGAAAGGAGGGTAACGGTCACTTACCCACATGCCACTTTCAGCTGAGGGTTATGTTGACTTGAAAGTCCCAACCGGCCAATAGCTTCTTTTCCAAGGGGCCCTATTCCTATTTGTAGCCGCAGAAGCGGCAAAGTCCGAGAGGTCCAGGCTGTTCCAATTAGTAACTGTTTAAAAGACCTTTGGGTTTAACTTGGGCAAAGAATATTCTACCAATATGCATCTCCAGATAGAAGCAGCTGGAAGTAAGTAACATATATAAAGGGTCTCTCCGGTGACTCACTGGTAAAGAATCTGCCTGCAGTGCAGGAGAGGCAGGTTTGATCCCTGGATGGGGAAGATCCCCTGGAGAAGGAAATGGTAACCTACTCCAGTATTCTTGCCTGGAAATCCCATGGACAGAGGAGCCTGATGGGCTACAGTCCATAGGGTTGCAGAGTCAGACACAACTGCAGCGACTGAACACACATAATGTATATAAAAGGACACGTAATTGACCCCCTTGTCCATGGAAAGAAGAGAACAGGACTCAAAAGTTGGGAGTTAAGTTTTGCTTGAGAACTTTACTGAGGACAATAGCCCAGGAAACAGCCCATCAGATAGCTCTGAGGAGCTGAGGCATATGTGTATGCTCACTCGGTCGTGTCTGACTAATAGCGTGACCAAAAGCTGGGTCTGGCTGCTCACAGCTCAAAAGCCAATGAACAGGCCAGGATGGTGGAAAGTTTGCTTTTTTTCCGATGCTGTGTCGGGTGGGGAAGGGAACATCCAGTCCCAAGTCCAGCTCCCCCATCTCCACATGATCAGGGGCAAGAGCTTTTCCAGACAGAGTGAAAGGAGTTACAGGCAAAAACAGTTCACTCAGTTCTGATAGTCATCTTGAAATTGGTCATCAGTGGTCTGACCAACATCACCTTGATTGTTTTAGGTACAGTTAATCTTCAGTTCCAGGGTGGGTTTGTTTTTACTTCTTTGAGGCCAGTTCTCGGAATTGTGGCAGCTTATGTCATGTCTAGTCTGGTCACCATATAGGCAACTTCTTCCACCTGGTAGGAGTTTCAGTATCTATAAGACAACTCACAGGCTACGGCTCAGAATATTATCTATAGCCCTCGAGAAGGAACTAAAGGTCCCCAACTATGCTTAATGGCGACATTATTGTTATTTGGGTTTCCTTAGGACTGTGCTTCCTTTCAATAGGAGGTAGGGGAAGAGCCAGAATGTGCACGAATTTTTTACTGGGGTGGGTGAACATCCAAAGATCACTGCTAATCACAAAGAGCAAACAAGTTAATGATCTTAGTGCTTTTATATGCATGAGAAGAATCTGGGATCACTGACATTTTCCCTTAGATATGTATCTTAACTATCTGGGTGTATCCAAGCCCCGAAAGCTATTTTTCATCATCCTGAATTACCCTCAAGGTACCCTGTTCATGGCTTGATCCTTGTAGAACTGAAATTGCAGGCAACACTGTTTCTTTACATCCAGAAGTCACTTTCAGTAGGCCATTGGGCAAAAGCCGTAGTTTAGAGCCTGTTTCCTTAGAGGTGCCCACTGGGTTTAGACAGACTTGGAAGATCCTGTTTGTGTATTCACAGTCCCTGCAGGTGGGTGCAGCAGTGGTGAGGTTCCTTTTTAGAAGAAAAGGAGAGGAAGTGTTGCAGCACTGTTCTTGTGGGAAGGACGTGGACACTGGTCTAAGGAGGCAGACTGTAGCTTGGCTGGAGAATGTTGGAGGAAGTTTATGTTTTAAGTAAGAAATATTATATTTATACAGATATATATCTATATATACAATTTTTAGGCTAAAGAATTTTTAAGCCTTTTAAATTAAAAACAAAAGCTACTATAGGCAGCCTGGATGGGAGAGGAGTTTGGGGAAATGGATATGTATATGTATGGCTGAGTCCCTTCGCTATTCACCTGAAGCTATCACTTGTTAATCGGCTATACCCCAATACAAAATAAAAAGATTTAAAAACAAATAAAGCCACTATAAAGAGACAACCCTTCACTTCAAGATTTTAGGACTCCACTAGTAACTACAGTCCCTTTAGAAGGGGACCGTAAACTGGGATAACACTCTTTTATATCAGCAAATTGATATAAACAGACTCTGATTCAGTGGGTCTGTCTGGAATAGAATTTGAGGGTTTGCACTTCTAACTAGAAGATGCTGCTGATACTGCTGGTCCGCCCGTCACTCTTTAAGTAGCAAGGTTCTAGGAAATGTTTAAACTGAGTGTTTGAGGGAATTGGGGATGGACAAGAGGTGGGCAGTGTGAGATTGAAGGATAGTTGGGAGTCAGATGGCTGAAAGCTGTAAATATCACACATGTTAAGATATAAATTATTGTTTCTAGGCACACCAAATCTTGACCATTCTAAATTAGAAAATTAACTCACAATTGGCATTATGTTTTTCACTTTCAAAAAGGCACTTTGTTTATGGTAAAGATCTTGGCTCATTTCTCACTGTGCAGTAATAGTCATTGTTCTGTGCTATTTTGTTCCTTTCAAATGTCTGTGTTCTGTTCTGTATTTGACAGTACAAAAAGTTCTGTGCCCTGATTCAAATTTATAATGACCAATAAACAAATAACAGAAGACTGTTGCTCAATAACATACTCTAACATAGAAGTTTAAATGTACACAACTTTTTTTTGAATTTCTCTAGCAGGTTGCCTTCATGTATACCTATGGCTGATTCATGTTGGGGTTTGACAGAAAACAGCAAAATTCTGTAAAGCAACGATCCTTCAATAAAAAGTAATAAATTAAAAATATATATACCTTTAAACAAAAACAACTTTCGCTGACATTTACAATGGTAAAGGGGATTTAAGCAGTCTAGAAAACATGAGGCAGGCTAATAGTAAAAATTTTCTGGAATAGACAAGAACAATATTCAGTGAAGTTTATGTGGCAGAAACAATAAAATAGTGGGGAAAGTTGGCGCTTTTTATTTACTTTTCACATCCTTTCCAGTTTTTGTTAATGTGCAGATAGTTTGTACATATGCTAGGTATCAATTCCTTGCCAGTTTTAGACATTAGACATTCTTCCAGTCTTCACCTATCTTTTAACTTTGCCCATGGTGTTCCTCCTTGGATGGAAGTTAACTTTGCTCTTCTGAAACCAAGATTAGAATTTTTTTTTTTTTTACAATATTGTGGTGACTTTCGCCGTACATCAAATATTAATCCTTATGGCTTGTGGTTTTACAATCTTAAGAGTTCTTTCTCTACCCATAGGTCACAAATATTCTTCTGCATTTTCTACAGCATTTTAGATTTATCATATGAAAGTCCATTGTACTTCAAATTGGCATCTAGTGAGAGGGAAGAAGGCAGCTTGGGTTTTCTACATGACCAAGTCAGTTTTCAGCAAGCTATCTTATGAATCAAGGGTTGGAAAACTTTTTCAGTAAAGGGCCAGATAGTCAATATTTGAGGCTTTAAAGGGTATTCTACTGTCTCTGTGGCAACTACTAAATTTTTCCCTTTTAAGGTGAAGGCAGTCACAGACAATACATAAACAAAAGGGCCACTGTGTCCACATGTCACAGAATATTCTTAATTTAAAAAAAATAAGACTTTATTTTTCAAAGCAGAGAATCCCATTTACTCCCTGCCCTCTCAGAGGCATAGCATTCCCTCCTAGCAACATCACACACTGGAGTGGTACACTGGTGAACTTATGGTGACACATCTTCACCCCAAGTCCATGCTTTATGTTAGGATTCACTCTTTTTGAATTGTGTTATCTCTGGGTTTTCACAAAAGTAGAATGACATGTATCCATCATTACTGTTTCATACAGAATAATTTCACTACCTGCTCTAGACTGAATGTTTGTGTTCCCCTAAACATCATATGTCCATTCCTAATGCCCAGTGTGATGGCATGTGGAGATGAAACCTTTGGGACATGATTATTAGGTCCTAATGGTTGAGCTCTCATGAATGGGATCAGTATCCTTATAAAAAAAAGCTTTCAGAGAGCTCCTTTGCCCCCTCAGCCATTTGAGGACATAGCAAAAACAACCAATCAAAAAAGCTGTCTGTGAACCTGAAAGCAGGCTTGGGAACCGAATCTGTCAGCATCTTTTTTTTTCATCCAAGAGTTGAGTCTTTGATTTATTTTTTTGAATTTAGAATTTTTTTTATTTATTTTTTTCCCATTTACTTTTATAAGTTGGAGGCTAATTACAATATTGTAGTGGTTTCTGCCATACATTGACATGAATCAGCCATGGATTTACATGAATTCCCCATCCTGATCCCCCCTCCCACCTCCCTCCCCACCCCATTCCTCTGGGTCTTCCCAGTGCACCAGTCCTGAGCACTTGTCTCATGCATCCAACCCGGGCTGGTGATCTGTTTCACACTTGATAATATACATGTTTCAATGCTGGTCTCTCAAAACATCCCACCCTTGCCTTCTCCCACAAAGTGTAAAAGTCTGTTTTGTACATCTGAGTCTTTTTCTGTTTTGCATATAGGGTTATCATTACCATCTTTCTAAATTCCATATATATGCATTAGTATACTATATTGGTCTTTATCTTTCTGGCTTACTTCACTCTGTATAATGGGCTCCAGTTTCATCCATCTCATTAGAACTGATTTAAATGAATTCTTTTTAATGGCTGAGTAATATTCCATGGTGTATATGTACCACAGCTTCCTTATCCATTTGTCTGCGGATGGGCATCTAGGTTGCTTCCATGTCCTGGCTATTATAAACAGTGCTGCAATGAACACTGCGGTGCACGTGTCTCTTTCAGATCTGGTTTCCTCGGTATGTATGCCCAGAAGTGGGATTGCTGGGTCATAGGGCAGTTCTATTTCCAGTTTTTCAAGGAATCTCCACACTGTTCTCCATAGCGGCTGTACTAGTTTGCATTCCCACCAACAGTGTAAGAGGGTTCCCTTTTCTCCACACCCACTCCAGCATTATTGCTTGTAGACTTTTGGATAGCAGCCATCCTGACTGGCGTGTAATGGTACCTCATTGTGGTTTTGATTTGCATTTCTCTGATAGTGAGTGATGTGGAGCATCTTTTCATGTGTTTGTTAGCCATCTGTATGTCTTCTTTGGAGAAATGTCTGTTTAGTTCTTTGGCCCATTTTTTGATTGGGTCATTTATTTTTCTGGAATTGAGCTGCATGAGTTGCTCATATATTTTTGAGATTAATCCTTTGTCTGTTGCTTCATTTGCTATTATTTTCTCCCATTCTGAAGGCTGTCTTTTCACCTTGCGTATAGTTTCCTTTGTTGTGCAAAAACTTTTAAGTTTCATTAGGTCCCATTTGTTTATTTTTGCTTTTATTTCCAATATTCTGGGAGGTGGGTCACAGAGGATCCTGCTGTGATTTATGTCGGAGAGTGTTTTGCCTATGTTCTCCTCTAGGAGTTTTATAGTTTCTGGTCTTACATTTAGATCTTTATTCGATTTTGAGTTTATTTTTGTGTATGGTGTTAGAAGGTGTTCTAGTTTCATTCTTTTACAAGTGGTTGACCAGTTTTCCCAGCACCATGTGTTAAAGAGGTTGTCTTTTTTCCATTGTATATCCTTGCCTCCTTTGTTGAAGATAAGGTGTCTGTAGGTATGTGAATTTATCTCTGGGCTTTCTATTTTGTTCCATTGATCTATATGTCTGTCTTTGTGCCAGTACCATACTGTCCTGATGACTGTGGCTTTGTAGTAGAGCCTGAAGTCAGGCAGGTTGATTCCTCCCAGTTCCATTCTTCTTTTCTGTCAGCATCTTGATCTTGGACTGCCTGGCCTCCAGAACTGTGAGAAATAAAACTTCTGTTGCTTATGAGGTGAGGTGAATTCACTCAGTCGTGTCTGACTCTTTGTGACTGTAGTCTACCAGGCTCCTTAGTCCATGGGATTTTCCAGGTATAAACCACCATAAAAATGGTATTCTATCATAGCAGCCCAAAAGGATAAAGAAACTGCCCTAATAATCCTCTGTGCTCTGCCAATTTATTCTTCTCCTGCCACCCTCTAGCAGCCACTGATATTTTTACTATCCCCATAGTTTTGCCTTCTCCAGAATGTTGTGTATTTGGAATCACACAGTATGTAGCCTTTTCAGATTGGCTTCATTCACTTAGGAATATGCACTTAAGCTTCCTCCATGTCATTTCACGACTTAGTAGCTTATTTCAACACTGAGTGATAGTTTATTACTGAATGTAGCACAGTTTATTTATCCATTTACCTACTTAAGGACGTCTTGATTGCTTCCAAGCTTTGGCAGTTATGAATAAAGTTGCTCTACACATCTACGTGCAGGTTTTTTGGTGGACAAAAGTTTTCAGCGCATTTTGATCAATACTAAGGAGCATAATTGCTGGGTTATATGGTAAGACTAGTTTTATAATGAAGTGTCAAAATTTTCTTCCAAAGCAGCTGTACCATATTACATTCCCACTGGAAGCAAATGAGAGTTCCTGTTGCTGCACAGCTCACCAGCACTTGGTGTTGTCAAGGGTTTACATTTTGGCCATTCTGCTAGGTATACAGTGGTCTCACTGTTGTTTTCATTTGCCATTTCCTACAGACATATGCTGAGCACATTTTTGTATACTTATTTGCCATCTGTTTATCTTCTTTAGAGAGATGCCTACTAAGGTCTTTGGCCCATTTTTCAGTCAAGTTTTTTGTTTTTTTACTGTTGACTTTGAAGAATTCTTTGTATATTTTGTAAAGAAGTCCCTTATCACGTGTCATTTGCAAACATTTTCTCCAAGCCTTTGGTTTATCTTCTCATTCTTTTGATGGTGTTTTTGTAAAGCAGAAATTCTTATTTTAATTAAACCTAACATCAATTTTTCATTTCATGGAGTGTACCTTTGATGTTATATTTAGAAAGTTGTTGCCAAACCCAAGGTCATCCAGATTTTTCTATTTTTTTTTTCAGGAATCTTACAATTTTACATTTTACATATACAACTATGATCCATTTTGAGTTAATTTTTGTGACAGATGTAAAGTCTATGTCAAGGTTCATTTTCTTGTATGTAAATATCCAGTTGTTCCATTTGTGAAAAAGACTGTCTTTGCTCAACTGTATTGCCTTTGCTCCTTGTCAAAGATTGGTTGACTATATTGATGTGGGTCTATTCTTGGCCTGTAAGAAGAAACAGACAATCCAATAGGCCTATGTCTATTAAAGAAATTGAATCAATAATTAATAATCTTCTGAAGCAGAAAGCACCAATCCAGATGGGTTCACTGGTAAATTCTACCAAACATTTAAGGAAGAAATTATACCAGTTCTCTATAATCTCTTCCAGAAGACAGAAGCAAAGATCATACTTCCTAACATATTCATGAAGCTAGCATTACCCTGATAACAAAAAAAAAAAGATAAAGACATTACAAACAAAAAAGCTACACACCACTATCTCTCATGAACATAGATGCAAAATTCTCAACAAAAAAGATTAGCAAATTGAATGCAACAATATATAAAAATAATCAAACACCACAACCAACTGGGATTTATTCCAGGTATGCAAAGTTAGTTCAACACTCTAAACTCAAACTAATATAATTCATCATATCAGTAAGCTCGAAAAAAAATCACAATAATATCAATAGATGCAAATAATTCATTTGACAAAATCCAATACTCATTCATGATTTTAAAAATTGTTGGCAAACTAGGAACAGAGAGAAATATCTTCAACTTGATTAAGAACATCTGTGAAAAATCTACAGCCCATATCCTACCTAAGGGTGAAAAATCTACAGCCCATATCCTACCTAACGGTGAGAAACTTAGAAGCTTTCCAGCTAAGACCATGAGGATGATTACTAAAAATCAGGCCTTGGAGTTTATCACAGATTCCTGACAATAAGAAATCTTGAACAATCAAGAGAAAGATGTGAAGGTGCCAAGTCATTGGCTGTATTTTCACAGGAGGAACATAGTGACTTCAGGGCAAAGCAAAACCTCAGAGTAGTAAGTCAGTGGTCTCACATTTCCACTGAAATATTACTGCTAATCCAAAAACTTCTCAAGGGGTAAAAAGAAGTATCTGTCATATAATGAACACAATCTCAAAACTCAATGCATTCTAGCCAATTCCAAAAATTATTGTGACACAAATATTAGAAAGAAGAAAAAAAAATTCACCTATAGATTAGATTTCTAGTTTTTTAAAGCCACAGGTACTACAAAATAGCTTATATTCATTGCAGAATCTCACATTTTGACACCAAGAGTCATTATTATGAATGTTATTGTGTTAATAAGATTTCAGTGTCTCGAGGTTACCTTCACTTAGCCCTTAAAATAAAAAAAAATCAATTTCCTTGGAAAAAAGAGCTTGCTTTCAGAAAAGCTTTATTGCACATCACATCACTGAATTAATTTGTTTGAATAAATAGCACACAAAACAAGGACTTATGTTGTGAAAATCCCTGAAGCTTCTAATCAGCAGTCTGCAAGGAGTGGAGACTTTGGTTTTGTGTCTTTTTAAGGCATACATTTCCCATTTATTTTAAAATTTTGAACATAATTGTTTTCCAAAACATTTTTCATGTCCGTTATAGAACTTCTCCCCATGAAACCGTGATTAGTGACCCTGAGACGCTACTCTTTTCTGTGAGAATGAATGTGCCCCCAAGGGACCTGGTGCATCATGCACTTTTCACAAGGCTGTGAAAGTACCAATAAACCGATCTTTGTGGGATTGCATATGCATTTGGTATGCACTTTAATTTTCACAGATATATAGAATACTCTTTTAAGTTTGTCCTTTAATACTATAGGAAAGGAGAAAACCTATACGTGAATACAAAAATATCTGATCTTCTCCAGAAATCAAAACAGTATCAAAAAACAGTTGTCCTTCAGAACCAAATATGTGACTGTTAGCTGGTGACTTTTTTCTTTCTCATTCTTTCTTTTGAAAGTTAAAGTCACTCAGTCGTGTCCAACTCTTGCGATCCCATGGACTATCGCCCACCTGGCTCCTCTGTCCTTGGAATTTTCCAGGCAAGAATACTGGACTGGGTTGCCATTTCCTACTCTAGGGCATCTTCCCCACCCAAGGATCAAAGCCAGGTCTGCACTACAGGTAAATTCTTTACCATCTGAGCCACCAATGATTACTGGATAGAGAGCAACCTTCCCGTCTCTCAGATGACCACTGAGAATGGTCCAGGTCAGGGTTAGTGACTTGGCTGACATCAGACCAGGAAATGTTTCTACTGATGACACAGTCAGCATAGTCAAAATAACTGGAAGAGAGAGTAAAGAAAGGTATGGAAAACATATTCTAAAACTATGGCAAAACAAACAGGCAAGAATCCAAAAGTTTCCCTCATCAAAGTAGGGTTTTTTTTTAAAAATAAACCTAGCACAAAGCTATAGACATTAAATATTGCTTTAAAAATATAAACATAGTTCTTGATGAATTATAGTCATCAATTTGCTCAAAATAGTTGTCTTCAGACATACTACAACTGATAATACCCATTTTTATCTCCCAACTCATTTATATAATATACCCCCTCCAGAGCACAGATTAGCCTAACAGCTACTTTTTACAACAGCAGAATATAGATACTGGAGTGTCTTCTTCTAATCGGTACTTTCCAGAATTAGGCAGATCTTTGCACTCTGATATAAATAAACGAAGTTCAGTCTCAGGAAAGCCATCTTGTTGGTAATGCTATATAGGAAGAAAGAAAAAAAGGTTTTCATTAGTAAGTCCCTTGAGAACAGCTTTATTTCAAATTCAGAGTGTATCATTTGGCTACAGGAGTGGGATTCATGCTAAGTCGCTTCAGTCGTGTCCAATTCTGTGCGCCCCTATGGTCAGGCTCCTCTGTCCATGCGTTTCTCCATGGAATACTGCAGTGGATTGTCATGCCCTCCTTCAGAGGATCGTCCCAGCCCAGGGATCGAACTTGCATCTCTTACATCTACTTGCATTGGCAGGCAGGTTCTTTACCACTAGTGCCACCTGGGAAACCCACAGGGGTGGGTTAGGTACGGATTTTTCTAAAGGGATAGTCCACTCGCTTCCACGTATTTTCATGGCAATGGAGCCTCTAGAGCCACTCTTAGGTTTGGTGAAGGAAAAGTGGGTCTAAGATTCTGCAGTGCCCTCCTGGGCTCTCTTTCATGGGTCTGAGTCAACCTGAAATGGACATGTTGAATCTGAATCTGAGACCTCCTTCCAGGGAAAATCCAGCCTGCACACCCTTTTGAAGTCTCTCTTCCAGATGGACAGATTTATATAAGGGTCTAATATTTATTTCAGTTCGGGATCTAGATCCCGAGAACTGGACCTGGGACAGAAAGAATCAGAAAGGACTCGTCCATGTGACAAGTGCCCCGAGTCCGTGGAAAGAGGTTAACATCTAAACTAAGAGTCTTAGGCTTGTGTCAAGAGATGTCCATTCACGTTACTTTTTGAGACCTCAGATATCATCACCCTTGAATAACATATAGCTTTCCTTTTTTTTTTTATTTTTTCGCTTTTTTTTTCAATTTATTTTTATTAGTTGGAGGCTAATAACTTTACAATATTTTAGCGGTTTTTGCCATACATTGACATGAATTTGCCATGGATTTACGTGTGTCCCCCATCCCGATTCCCCCCCCCCCACCCGCCTCCCTCCCCATCCCCTCTGGGTCTTCCCAGTGAACCAGCCCCGAGCACTTGTCTCATGGATCCAACCTGGGCTGGAGATGTTTCACTCTTGATAGTATACTTGTTTCAATGCTATTCTCTCAGAACATCCCACCCTCACCTTCTCCCATAGAGTCCAAAAGTCTGTTCTGTACACCTGTGCCTCTTTTTCTGTTTTGCATGTAGGGTTATCGTTATCATCTTTCTAAATTCCATATATATGCATTAGTATACTATATTGGCCTTTATCTTTCTGGCTTACTTCACTCTGTATAATGGGCTCCAGTTTCATCCATCTCATTAGAACTGATTCAAATGAATTTTTTTAATGGCTGAGTAATATTCCATGGTGTATATGTACCACAGCTTCCTTATCCATTCGTTTGCGGATGGGCATCTAGGTTGCTTCCATGTCCTGGCTATTATAAACAGTGCTGCAATGAACACTGCGGTGCACGTGTCTCTTTCAGATCTGGTTTCCTCGGTGTGTATGCCAAGAAGTGGGATTGCTGGGTCATAGGGCAGTTCTATTTCCAGTTTTTCAAGGAATCTCCACACTGTTCTCCATAGCGGCTGTACTAGTTTGCATTCCCACCAACAGTGTAAGAGGGTTCCCTTTTCTCCACACCCACTCCAGCATTTATTGCTTGTAGACTTTTGGATAGCAGCCATCCTGACTGGCATGTAATGGTACCTCATTGTGGTTTTATTTGCATTTCTCTGATAGTGAGTGATGTGGAGCATCTTTTCATGTGTTTGTTAGCCATCTGTATGTCTTCTTTGGAGAAATGTCTGTTTAGTTCTTTGGCCCATTTTTTGATTGGGTCATTTATTTTTCTGGAATTGAGCTGCATGAGTTGCTCATATATTTTTGAGATTAATCCTTTGTCTGTTGCTTCATTTGCTATTATTTTCTCCCATTCTGAAGGCTGTCTTTTCACCTTGCGTATAGTTTCCTTTGTTGTGCAAAAGCTTTTAAGTTTCATTAGGTCCCATTTGTTTATTTTTGCTTTTATTTCCAATATTCTGGGAGGTGGGTCACAGAGGATCCTGCTGTGATTTATGTCAGAGAGTGTTTGCCTATGTTCTCCTCTAGGAGTTTTATAGTTTCTGGTCTTACATTTAGATCTTTATTCCATTTTGAGTTTATTTTTGTGTATGGTGTTAGAAGGTGTTCTAGTTTCATTCTTTTACAAGTGGTTGACCAGTTTTCCCAGCATCACTTATTAAAGAGGTTGTCTTTTTTCCATTGTATATCCTTGCCTCCTTTGTCAAAGATAAGGTGTCCATAGGTACGTGGATTTATCTCTGGGCTTTCAATTCTGTTCCACTGATCTATGTTTCTGTCTTTGTGTCAGTACCATACTGTCCTGATGACTGTGGCTTTGTAGTAGAGCCTGAAGGCAGGCAGGTTGATTCCTCCCATTCCATTCTTATTTCTCAAGATTGCTTTGGCTATTCAAAGTTTTTTGTATTTCCATACAAATTGTGAAATTATTTGTTCTAGTTCTGTGAAAAATACCATTGGTAGCTTGATAAGGATTGCATTGAATCTATAGATTGCTTTGGGTAGTATACTCATTTTGACAATATTGATTCTTCCAATCCATGAACACAGTATATTTCTCCATCTATTTGTGTCCTCTTTGATTTCTTTCATCAGTGTTTTATAGTTTTCTATATATAGGTCTTTTGTTTCTTTAGGTAGATAAGTATTTTATTCTTTTTGTTGCCATGGTGAATGGTATTGTTTCCTTAATCTCTCTTTCTGTTTTCTCATTGTTAGTGTATAGGAATGCAAGGTATTTCTGTGTGTTAATTTTATATCCTGCAACATTACTGTATTCATTGATTAGCTCTAGCAATTTTCTGGTAGAGTCTTTAGGGTTTTCTATGTAGAGGATCATGTCATCTGCAAACAGTGAGAGTTTCACTTCTTTTTCTATCTGGATTCATTTCTTTTTCTGCTCTGATTGCTGTGGCCAACACTTCCAAAACTATGTTGAATAGTAGTGGTGAGAACATATAGCTTTCTCTATGCAGAGGTGAAGGCAGTGAACTTTTAGCACACCGTGAGAAGGGATTTGGACAGGTACAACTACATTCTTTCCAGTCTCCTTGGTGACTCTAAGCAAGTCAGTCAAGTGAGCATTGAGGACAGTCAGTTCTTGACATCTGATTCAGTAAGAATGATGTCACAGCCCTGGTTGCCTGAACAAGGTATATGTAATTACCAATATATAATCCATCAACTCGTGATCATCTTTCTCCTTATCTATTCACATGACATCATGTTTCATTACCCCTCTCATGTTCAGAAACAGATGTCCCCAAATGGAAGTGTCTATGCCAATAATATACCTAATGTGCTACTACTAACATGTGTGTGCAGGCTAAGTTGCTTCAGTCATGTCTGACTCTTTGCAACCCCATGGACTGTAGCCCATCAGGCTCTTCTGTCCATGGGATTCTACAGGCAAGAATACTGGAGTGGATTGCCATTTCCTTCTCCAGGGGATCTTCCAACCCAGGGATCGAACCCAAGTCTCCTACATCTCCTGCATTAGCAGACAGGTTCTTGAGCCACTAGCACCATGTGGGAAGGTTATTAGAAATTTGAATGCATGTGGATATTTATTCTGCCTTTCCATATTTCAAAGGACTCAAACTGATTTTTAAAATCCAGTGTGAATAACAGTATTAGTGACTGAAAGTCAGACACAACTGAGGGACTAAATAACAGCTTTTCAAATCATGCTCCTAAATGTGGAACACATACATGGCGAGTTCTTGACCTATCAGTTCGCTGACTGTTCTGGAGACGAAGCCTCTGGGGTGGTCCCAAGAAGGGCCTAGCAGAATGATGCATTCAGTTACAGCACACTTCAAATAAAAAGGTCTATTTTTCTTCATGAAAATTGGATTTTAAAAGCGCCCCACAAAATTTTGATCATCTGAAATGCCATGTTTCACTCCCCAACACCTAATGATCCTTATAATGCTAATAAAAGATTAGAAAGCTTGTTTGAAAACACACAGTTACTCAAAGACAAAACTGTCAACATTCTAGAAATTCTGTTTCTCGGGATCTAAAATTGAAGTCCTTTTCTCTACTCTGAAGAAATTACCATTCCATTGATCTCCTCCCCGTTAGGTACTGTATTTTATTGACTGTCTACAAGTTCTAGGAAAATGTCACTCCTCATGGTTCTAGATGAACCTACCTTAATTGTTTCATATGTATCAGTGATCAGTGCAATGAAAAGACTTAAAATCATGTATATAAAAAGGCTGATGAATGAGTAGAGGTAAATTCTGCTAAACAGCCAGACCAGGTAACTTTTTTGCTGCATTTTCGCAAATGTGGCAAACATATCATCTCCATTTATCAGTGAGAAAAGACACTCAGAAACCATGTTCAGAGAACGGAACTGCAAAAAAAAAAAAAAAAATTCATTTTATTTCATGTTCCCTCCCACCGGAGACTTTGATCATGACTCCATAATAAAAATAGAGGACTAGATAACCCAAGTTACCCTTTCAAACAAATACCCTTGGGTAACCACAGGCATTTTTTTTTTAAACAAGA